GGAGAAAAGACTGAACGAGTGGAACAAACTGCAAGAAGAGAAACACAAAAGGTGGTCCAGGGGGATCCTCAATGCCATGATCCAGAATCTAGTTTCTGCTGCTTGCAATCTCGCCTCATGTAACTCTTGCGAAGATAGTGGTGGTTTGAATAACACCCGGTATTCCTTCGATTCCTTCGGGCCTAGGCACAAATGCATTTTGATACCAAGGCCCAATGGCTGGACGGAGGGATTGCAATTACCTCGTGAGTCCTGGATGTCATTTCTAGAATCATCGCAAGAAAACGGAACAGGAAGGAAGCAGACTGCAAAAGAAGGGTGGAAGAAGCGGAGGAGCGCATGGAGGGTCATCCGATATCAAAAGTGGTATGGGTCGCGGAGAGGGAGAGAAGACTGAACGAGTGGGACAAACTATAAGAAGAGAAACACAAAAGGTGGTCAGAGATCTTGAAAGTCAAGGGCATTGAGACTAGCGACAGAATAATCAAGGAAAACTTTCAACGTTTGATGCTACGACGCACACAACAACAAATGGTTGAGTTGAGGCACCTGTTCGACCGGACAACCCCGACAGTCAGCGCTGTTGCAGGCATGCTACATTACGCCAAACTGTACTACATGGACATCCTTACCTCGAGATGCCCCCAAAAGAGTGTGAACTTAGACCTGTTCAGGGACTCGGATATGTGGGAGGACACTACAGTGAGGCTACAGCCCAACGCCAGACTGGATTTAGATCGACCGCTCAAATTATAATAGGTGAGGCAGACTCTCAAGATAATGGACAAAAGGAAGGCCCCGGGAGTAAACGGCCTCATAGTCAAATTCTACGCTGCCAACTGGGCTGCATTTGGCCCTGCACTAGTGGACCTGTACAACGAGGTCCTGGTTGGGGGAAAGCTTGGCAAGGGGATGACATACGGAATAGTTGTTGTGCTGTTCAAGAAGGGGGACAAATCGGAGGTACGAAACTGGAGGCCGATATCCCTCCTAAATGTTTCGTACAAAATGTTAGCAAAGACACTGGCACGCAGGCTGTCGAGGTACTTACCAAAGCTGCTGGAAAGAGACCAGAGCGCGTTCGTTTAAGGAAGGTCGATTTTCAACAATATTGTCATGGGCATTGAGACGTTGGAAGTCGTAAAGAAGAAAAATCTGGACATGACGATCCTCTTCATAGACCTGGAGAAGGCATGCGACAAAGTGGGTTGGACCTTCGTCCTCACCACTTTGAGGAGAATGGACTTTGGCGAAGGGTTTTGTGCCTGGATCATCGCAATGTACACGTACTCCATATCGTCGGTGATGATCAACGGTCACTTGTCGAATCCATTCCTGCTCTCGAGGTCCCTGAGACAAGGTTGTCCGCTCGCACTTCTGGTCTTCGTACTTCAATTGGAAGTGCTGTTGAACAGAATCCGTAAGCATCCGAGCATACATGGCCTCCGTCTGCACATTGGCGAGGACTGTAGGGTGAAGGCATTAGCAGACAATCTGTTCGCCGTGAGCGAAAACTCAGGGTCGTCCTTGTCGGCGCTGAAGGGTGTCATGATGGAATACTCCGAACTGTCCGAAGCGTCGGTCAACTGGAGCAAATCAGTGTACCTCCTTCCGACACAGTTTGTACTGAGAGTTGAATGAGGCATGAAAAGAGTGGAAGTGGGTGAGGAGGAGAGATTTGTGGGGTTTCTTATCAGTCTCCAGTTCGAGTCCTCGGCACAAGGCTTACTTCTGCTGCAACGCATTTCAGCAAGGCTCAAAATGTGGGAAATGACTTGGCATCTGTCCCTGCTGGGGCGGACCCTCGTAGCGAATGTGGCATTGTTCTCGATTCTCTGGTTCGTATCAACAGTCAGAGAGTTGGCAACGGGGATTATAAGGGCAGTCAAGAAACTGGTGGGCCGATTCATCTGGAAGCCCCGGACAAGGCTCATTGAAGGGCTCATATCCAAGGTGGCGATGGACACTCTCTCCTTTCCTCGTCCCAAAGGAGGCTTGGGTCTTTTAGACTCAGCTCGTAGGAACCAGACTCAGTTGCGTAATTGGGTGGCTAAACTGACCACTTTAGCATCTAGGGAACACTGGGTGGGTGTAGCAGAACACTTACTGATGGGAGAATGGGGTCTAAGCAGGGCGCAAGACGTTTGGGATTGCTTCTTTATCCCGTCCTTTCGGAAGAAGAAACTCAAGTCCAGATTTTGGGAACTGATCAGGAAGGCATTAAATCGTCTCCCACCGGATCTGCAAAGCCCCCCACACACGAAGGAAGAAGCGTTGAAGCAACTGTTGTTCGAAAATCCGGACGTAACAGATCAAAATTGGCAGTCCTTCAAAGCGGATGGGTCCACAGACTCTTTTGGCCAAGCTTGGGTCAACCGGAGCATAGTCCGGGTTTCGGATTTGTGGTCGAGGTTGTTGAGGGCTGGAAGCCCCTGGAGGACATCAAGCAATCGCTTAGAGGTCTGCAAAAGGTGGAAAACAATTGGAGGAACATTATCCAAGGCATACCGTAGGAATGGTTGAGGCTGTTGGGTTCAGAAGGGGTAGATCCGGAGGGTACCTGGTACATCCCAAATCAAGTGGAAGAACCGAACGTGCTGTGGAAAGTCAGATAAGTTCTCCCTAGCGGATTCAAGCGCATCGAACGTTGGCGTTGCGAAGGCCCAACAAACACCCTACTTCTTGTGGGGCAGGATACAATCTTAAGCTGGAATAACCCATTGCAAGCACGAGTCTTAGAAGTACGTGGCAAAAGACCTTTGACCCGTACTCTCACTTGGGTAGGAAGACTCCCGCTCAACCAGCTCTGTATTGACCCTTCAGCATGGAGTTGGTCTGCAGAATCAGGCGGAGAAACAACACTGAGTATTGGTGAATACTCCGTCTCTCAGGGTTACCGACAGCTTACACGCAATATGAAGACTCCGGCGCAGGTAGCGATCCCATGTTGGCAAGCGATATGGGAAGAAGACCTATCAGGCGCAGACACAGAGTTCGAAAGGCTATGGGAGTGTCTATCCAATCTCCCGAATGGTAAGAAGGTCAACCTCCTCTGGATGCTCTCGCTATTGGTCTCCCCCTCAGCAATATGGTTGATGAGCAGGGGTATGAAAGTAAGCCTCACGTGCACAAGATGTAGGTGACCATTCGAATCCACCAAACATCTGTGGTGGGAATGCCCCGCCTCTAAACGCATCTGGATCTGGTGGGCGCACCATTGGAGAGAATGTGGCGGGTCGGGAGTGGATTGGTCCGAGAAATGGGTGCTTTTGGGCTTTCTCCCACCACACATAGAAAGACACCGTGGCTGGGGTTACGTCGCCCATGTGGTTTGAGGCCTGATCTGCGAGACAATTTGGAAGGACAAAAACAGGTCGAGGTTCGATAGACGGTCCTTCTCAGACGTGGAGGTTAAAGGGCACATCAAACAGGGTTTGAAACACGCCATTCGGGCAGACTGGAGACGCAAAGCCAAAGCAGGAAAAAGGAACAGGAGTCAGCTACGCTGGTTCCGCCACACCTGGGCGAAGAGTAGTCAATTGGTAACGGTTCACCCAAGGGAGAGCCTGATTTTTTCAGACTGGATTCTCAACAAGTCGCCTGTGCGGTGTCAGCACCAAGGCGGAGAAGGAGCTTAGAGAGTAGGTCAAGAGGCAGTAAGGAACCGTAAGCTTCACCAGGACACTCTGTGCTGTAGGGTCGTTGTGGGCCGCTAGGAGAGTGTCAGTCAGTAGGACCGGATTCTGTCCTCTGGGCCGTGTTAGTCCTAGACGTAGTTAACAACCGATTAGTGAGGTTAGTAGCCTTCTTTCAAAATGCTATCAACGGTCTCTTTCTCCAAATTGCAAGTTCATGTTTTCGGTGAGCAGCAAAGAATATGGTGTTGTAGGAAGTGCTCTAGTTTTGGAGAGGTAGATAAGTCTTCGAAAGTGAAGTGCAAAAGTATTCCCAGACAAGAGCCTGTAAGCTAAGCTGGCTGATGCTGTCAGTACTTCCGGGTTGAATTGTGAGGTCCCCGGCCTCGAAGTCCATTTATAATGAATTGTTGCTGAAAAAAAAAAAAAAAAATCCAGCCGTGGCTCGCATGGCCCACCAAATTTTCGCATTCAACTTTTAATTCAAACCTCATTTCTGTCATTTGCAAAAACCAGGGCGGATACCCTTGTAAAGGTATTCACGCCGACAGCGGGATTTGAAACATACGTCAGCCATTGGTTATCCTGACAATTATTACCTTCGTGAGGCTACCTCACAACCCATCCTCTCATCAATGCTCCTAGTGCATCCCCTATCCCCACTATCCTTCCTGAGTGTGAATCACTCATGACTATCATCCTACCGTTTCAAAGGGTGACTTGGACCGAATAGCAGGTATAGGCACCAAGTCTAAGCAGGCTAGCGCCCACGAACTTGTCCGGACTGTAGTAGCTTACCCAAGGCCAGGCGGAGCGACTTATATCCCTACCTACCGGTAGTCCTGGATGAAGCGGAATAGAACGAGCCTTGTCGTGCGGGACTCTAGGCCACTCCCACGGTCACAGGCTGGAAAACGGCGCCCTCGCGGTCTGAAGTCGTTGAAGCCATCGGTCCAGACTGTCCTAGTGTACCCAAGGCTAGGCGCACAGCCGGTGCGCCATCGGTCCGGACTGTCCTAGCTCACCCAAGGGTAGGCGCACAGCCGGTGCGAGTTATATGGCTACCCAGCCCTGGTTGAAGCGGGATAGAACGAGCCTTGTCGTGCGGGACTCCGGGCCGCTCCCACGGTCACGGGCTGCATACCCGCGCGCCTCGAAGCCATCGGTCCGGACTGTCCTTAGCTTACCCAAGGCTACGGTAGGCGGACAGCCGGACCGACTTAGAACGAGCCTTGTCGTGCGGGACTCCAGCCCACTCCCACGGTCACGGGCTGCATACCCGCGCCCCCGCGGTCTGAAGTCGTTGAAGCCATCGAGCAAATCGTAGGCCGCATCGCGCCAGCTTTGGCGATATGTAGACGGTAGACGCTAAAAAGGCAAAGACGAATTTGAATTGTGTCGTTGCGCGCGCGCACCGTTCTTCTGTGTTCCCGCGCTGTTCGTTTTGCTCTCAAGGGTTCTTCGTGTTCATCGAGTAGCCATGGACGATATGTACGAGAGGTTGGAGAAGGTTGGCGAGGGCACGTATGGCAAAGTCTACAAGGCGCGCGACAAGAAGACGGGGAGACTCGTTGCGCTGAAGAAGACGAGGTTGGAGATGGAAGAGGAAGGAGTTCCATCGACAGCTCTCCGGGAGGTCTCGCTGCTGCAGATGCTCTCCCAGAGCATCTATGTTGTGAGGTATTCACAACCCACGCGATCCTGTGTTCATGATCCTCCTCACTCATGATTCGTTCGTCGCCTGCTAACTAGCTAGAGGTTGCCTTTTCTTAGTCTTTTTTCGGACTGAAACCTCCGGGTTTGCGCACTGGTAAGCCATCAAAACACGATTGCGCTTTCTCTCGCCTTTCTGCTCTACCTTGCTGTAGTCCCATGCCACCTTCTCGGCGTAATGGTTCTCCTTTTACTCTCAGTTTCTGTCCCTCCTTCGCTCCCTTTTGCTATCTTGATTCTCTGGGCGCATCTGTTTTACAGGAGAATGAGTCGACCGGTGAGAGCCTATTCCCCTCCCCTTTTGCTTGTGGCCACGGGAGAGCTTTCTATACCTGGATTATGGGAGGAGAAGACGTGGACTGTTTTTCCTCCTCTCTGTCTGGCGAACGACTGTTCCCTGTCCATTCTTTCTCCCTTTTATAAGTTTTCAGCTTCAGAATTCTAGCGCATTTCCCTGCCTCCCAGTACCCTGCCATGGTATCCACCTCTGTCCCCTTCTTTTGTATGGTTTCAAAAGAAAAAGCTAACGGCATCTATGTATTGAGCCACGTCGGTCCGCTACCTTCGGCTTGCAGTTGTCGACCACTATATCGGTAATCTCCCACCCGCAGCATTGTTAACTACCGGTAATGATCGGTAATCGTTTGCTGGTCAATTTCTCAGGGTAAAGTAGTGAACTTAGGTTGAGTGTACGAACCTTGCTGTGAATCGCGCACGATCCTTAACGCGCACGATTCTTAAAGCACCAGTACACGGCTTTTGGAGACCGGAAATACGGCGAAGGCCATTGATGAATATTATCAACGGCGTCCCGGTTCCGAAAGTTGCGGTGGTGGCGACGGCGAGGTCCTTATTGGCAAGGCTGGGGCCGTGTACTGGTGGTTTAATGGACAGATTCAATTTAGTATTCGTGGGTTGAATGTCTGCTCTCCCTCTCTCTCTCGCCCTCATTCACTTCTTGTACCGGGGAGTTTCTTTTGTTTTGTCTTTCTTTTTGCAGCCCTCGACTCGATCGTAAGCTGAAGGGCTTTAACTCTCAACTCGTGGATGCGGGGCGTGGGTTGAATGTCTGCTCTCACTCTCTCTCTCGCCCTCGCTCAGTTCTTGTACCGGGGAGTTTCCTTTGTTGTCTTTCTTTTTGCAGCCCTGACTCGATCGTAAGCTGAAGGGCTTTTAACTCTCAACTCGTGGATGCGGGGTAGCTGGGCTATGGGGTAGAATCGAGCGAACAGCCGGATACCACCACATCTTGACGGTAGTAGAATGAACGGAGTGGGGTACATGCAATCTTGTTTCTGCTGAACCTTCTCTGATGCGTTTTGTGTGCGGAACAGGCTTCTCTGCGTCGAGCATGTCGATGAGAATAACAAACCCATGCTGTATCTCGTTTTCGAGTACCTTGATACGGATTTGAAGAAGTACATGGACTTGACTGGTCGAGGTCCCAGTAATCCTCTTCCTGCCTCCACGATCAAAGTAAGTGGCGATCTTTATATCCTGGCTGCCTCTGTTAATTCCTCCTCCCTATCCCCTGCCTCCTCCCTTTCCCTTTACCACTCCCACTCTCTTCCTATTTCTTACTCGCGCTGTCTAGATCGATCTATTGTCTACTGCTATCTCTTTCCTATGTTTGCTTGTGTATTCTTCCATGCATTGCCCGGTCTATTGCGTCTGAATTTCCTGACAACTGGTTGGGTGCTTTGTTCTGTTTCATGGACTTGATCGAAAGTGGACCATTATTGTTGTACTTAACTCTGGGCGGCTTGGTGTCATGCACCGGAGCCCTTTGTTGGTCCCTGTATGTTGCTTGCGAAGCTTGTTATATGATGACGGTGCTTGCAGTTGTGGATATCGGAGCGCACTGGAGGAAGGAATGGAGTTGGGTAGCTAGGGAGTGTGTAGATCGAGGGGCAGTAATGTATTGATTTCCGGTTTATGTTATAGATCTGTCCATTAATCTGTGTTGGGTACATGCTGCTGTGGCTCTCGTCCCTGTGGGCTTCTTTGATCTCTTCCCTTGGCATCACTCAGAGTTTCTTGTATCAGCTTTGCAAAGGAGTTGCGCATTGTCACAGTCACGGCGTCATGCACAGGTATGCTGTTACTCTAGGAGTAGACGGGACATTCCTCTTCCGGCTTCGTACTTACCTCCTTTTGTCCTGCTCTTCCCTATGCTATGCTTTTAGCTCTATGTTTCACCCACTTGTCCAATGTTTTCAACCCTTTGCTAACCCTTCACTGGCGCTTGTCTACAATCTCTTACCTGAAGCGACGAGAATGGCCGACCTCTAGGAATATTCCAATTGGTGCCGATCTTGCTTTTCTGTGATTGATTCCTCCAGCTCCCTGGATGCCGGATTCACTAGGCTTCAGGCCTGCGGCGCCCAATTTGTGCTCATTGAGATTCGCTTTACCAATTATCGGTAATGGTATGTTTGAGTGATAGCTGCCAGGCTACTCCTTTCCTTCAGTTACACAGCGATTGATCGAGCGATGGCAAATGCTTGAGTGGGTGGATTTGTGATTGGTTCAGGATTCATGGGAACGCGAACGGCGTGCCTTTCGGCAACGCAATTTCAGCACTCCCTCTGCAGTGGTTCCTATGTTTCATGTTACCATAAATTTTGAAAGCTTGGAGGAAATTTACACCTCAGTGAATGTTAAGTGTTTGCTCTCTCGCTTCTGAATATTGGATCGGGCGAAAAGGATAAGAAGTGAATGTTAAGTGTTTGCTCCCTTGTATATTCTCTCGCCTTGCCGTTTGGTCTGTTCAAGAGCCGGCTGCACGGTCTCCCCACTTTGAAACGTTTGGAAATAGTCGGATGAGCAGTCGCCTCCTTTGCTTAACCCGCCGATTTGTCAACCTCCCTCGCCCTCGTCGTCCTGCTGCTTGCTGTATCTGGGGTACTGTGACTGCCTCTTCTGATGTTGTTTCACATTTATTTGCCGTTTTGCTATCGTTTTTAACAGTCGAGACTCTGTTTGATTGTGCAGAGATCTGAAGCCCCAGAACCTGCTGGTCGACAAGGAGAAAGGAATACTCAAAATTGCAGATTTAGGATTGGGCCGAGCTTTCACGGTCCCTGTGAAGAGCTATACACACGAGGTGAGGGATCCGATCATCGTTTCTTGAATTTTTTTCTACCTATTTTTGGGTCGATGCCGCTGTCACGGAACGGGATCCGCTATCCGACGCAATTTGTTGAGCCACGGAGGTGTAAGTAGCAAGGATTCTGTGCGATTCTCTCCTTTGTTTTAAGCGCACGCGAAGGGCTTCTCAGTAAGCGACAGCTCTTCATCACCAGCGAAACGAAAGAGTTCTGTGAAAAATTGTTGTTCCCTCATTGGTACCCAATTGATGAATGGGCTTCAGTATCTGGTCTATGCCAGTCATCAGCATGTGGTTTACATCTCCCAAGGCTTCTCAGTATGCTAGGAGATTGGGATGGCTATTCTAAGGGCCTCCTCGCTGGTAGACCTGTGTGAGAGCCCATGGATAGTTTTGCCGAAAGATAATTTACGGGTCACAGTCCCGTTTTGTGTAGTCTTTCCATTCGTGCATTATTCCCCATCGGGTCTATTCATGAAATCAGGCATTCTTGTGCTGATGGCGGCGTGCTGCATAGATGCCTTTCAAATGTGGTGTGGAGGCAAGTTAGTCACCCATATTTGACCGTTATGAGGCCGTACATTATTCCCCAAGTTTCCTACGCAGCAGTTCCATGAACCAGACGATACCTAAAAGACTGAATGAGTGGAAGGCTTCTACGGAGGCGATAAACTCTAGCGTTCAAGATAAACAGTCGGCTGCTCATATCGGGGGTTGTGTGGGCTTTGTGTGCAGATTGTAACGCTGTGGTACAGAGCACCGGAAGTGCTCCTAGGAGCGTCATACTACTCGACACCCGTTGACATATGGTCTGTTGGCTGTATCTTTGGTAGGTGTCCCCGTCTACCTACCTGCCTCCAGTGTGTAGTATGTTGTGTGTCCATGTATGTTGTCCTTAATTACTTATGTTTGTTTATGTGTGTGTGTGTGTGTGTGTGTGAGAGAGAGAGAGAGAGAGAGAGAGAGAGAGAGAGAGAGAGAGAGAGAGAGAGAGAGAGAGAGTTTTGAGACCTGCTTTTTGCGTCTGTTGTATATTCAGATTCCCGTCGTGATGTGGTGTGCGTTTGAGTTCACAACCATGGTCGCTGCGACGGCGGCAGTCTTCATGCTCACCTCGATCCTTCTGGCCGTCCTTGCTCTTCTATTTCTCTACGCTTTTCTTGGCTTGGTTGTGGTCTCTCATTTAACGGATGCAAGGGCCCCTCCGAATTCTTGTACTCTCTGCCTGCGGCTCTCGTCTCCAATTGCTTCAGTGGTTGAGGGATGCCCATGTCATGTGACTGCTCAAGGCCGACGAGCCATGCATTCATCACGCCATGTTTGTGAACCTGGAGCCACCTTTCCCTTGTAAGTTCCTGGCTTTTCTCGACTTCCCAAGTCCTGTGTCTCTGCTGCATCGCCGATGGTCATGACGGTATACTCTCGCAGGCTCGGAGGAGAGAAAAAAGGGATGATCGTACATGCTATTGTTGCCGGTGTTGGTTGCTCAGTTTAGGGTTCATCCGACCCTCGTTTTCTTGTTTCTTGCAACGAGTGTTGATTTCTTTCTGGGAATGTTGTTGTCCTGTTGTTGTAATGAAGCGGAAATGGCGAGGAAGGCTCCGCTGTTTCCAGGAGATTCGGAACTCCAGCAGCTCCTTCACATTTTCAAGTGAGTGTTCAGCACTGAAGGCCGTAGTCCACTCGCTGTTCCATGTGCAAACCAAGGAAAACAGAGGAGAAAGAGAATGCTGGACGAAGATGCGATATGTGCATGATCGATTTCAAAGAATCGACGGATAGTTTAGGGGTAGAAAAAGCCGACGGTTCTCACAGTTCGCATCCAGTTATAGATGTGATTTTTTAAAAGATTTGGTTGGCAATTGTTTCTGGGCGCACTGCAGCTGGCGCAGTTTGATTTGCCACAAAAGAGTCTATCTCATGTTCTTACAGCGAGGAGGCATTCGAACTCATCATCTGTTTACGATAAGCAAAATGGTCGTTTGTGGGATATGTCGATTAGAGAGCAGCAGCATAAAGGATTCCGATTTGCAACAAAGGCTGTAGTCTTTGCTGATCGTGTAGCAACGAAGCTGCAATCGCTTGCCGTCTGAGCTGTTTAGTTGAAGCAACAATTGGGAGTAATATAAGCTGCCAGCCTCTCTGCGTGGAATAGATAGCAGTTATTGTGTTTGTTGGGGTGTGCAAATTGACAGGCTTCCCTGCCAGCATCTCTGCGTGGAATAGATAGCAGTTATTGTGTTTGTTGGGGTGTGCAAATTGACAGGCTTCCCAGTTTCTGTCCGTGCGAAGAAATGCCCTTATTTTGTGTCCTCCTTTCATTTTCGCCTGCGACTGTATATTTTAGTTATCTTTCTGCATCATGATGGGCTCTGCTTTGCCGTTTTTCAGTCTCAGATGCCTCTGTGGTCGACAAGAGACGTTTTGAGGATGATAATATTGTATGGCCATTGCCAGGGAATCTCGTTGTGTCCTTCACAGAATATTCAAGTTTGTGTTGGACAACATATATAAATATAGGGAAAATTTTCGAAATGCCCCTCCGACTTCCATTTATTTGAGGTATGCCCCTCCGACGGCCGACTTACCCTGTCGTGCCTTTGGGGCCTCTGAAGTTTCCTGCATGCTCCTGTCGGTGAGGGATGTAACTTTCCAGCATGCCCCTGTGGCCGTTGGTGGCACTTGAGGCCGCTCCCCTGGCCCTGGGAGGGGAGCGCCGGGGCATACTGGAAATTGGGAACCGGTACCGGTAGGGGCATGTTGAACATATTTCAGGTCCAAACAACGCCAGGGCTTTTCGGAAACTTCAATCGTTTCAGAGGGGCGCGACAGGGTAAGTCGGCCGTCGGAGGGGCATACAGCAAATAAATGGACGTCGGAGGGGCATTTCAAAAAAATTCACATGGATATATTGTCAAATACGACGAAACACTTCGTCTCAGTCCCTCGTTTGTTGTCCTCTTCTCCCTCTCTGTCTACGGTTTACCGGGCAGCTCTGTTTGACGATATATAGAACAGAAATAAACTGTATACAGTAAAACAGATAATCATATATACCATATTAATCATATTGTAATTATACTAATAATTTTTAATTTTCTATATACTTTTCTATGTATCATATATTTTTATTTATATATGTTGTATATATCTATTTTTATGTAGATTGTGTATATACAACATATATTCATATGGGTTCAGCCTCCTGATGAGTCAGTGAAACTCCGACGAAACAGTTTGTCACCGCCCCTCGTTTGTTGTCCTCTTCTCCCTCTCTGCCTAATGTTTCCCGGGCAGCTCTGTTTGACGCACAAAGACATAAATATATGATATAAAGAAGAGTATGTAGAAACTTTTAATATAATTTAATAAAATCTAGACTACCAGCCGGGCCGCCCGGGTCATCCTGTTTTCCCGGGCTGCCCGACCGTGCAAGGACCAGTGAGGGTCCCATAAAAAAAAAAAGAAAAAAAGTCCAAAAAAATCCGAAAAACAACTGCGTTATGCAGAAAAATAAACTGAACAACTTTTGCCTCAGGGTCGCATCGAAATTGTTTACCAAATTTTTAGAATAAAAAATAAAATTGATTTTTTTTTTGTACTTTCATTTTTTCATTTTCTTTGGCCCGGCCGTGCAAGTGGTCCCGGGCCACTCTTGTAGCCTAGAATATGGGACGAAACAGTTTCTCACAGACTTGTTTGTTGTCATCTTCTCCCTCTCTGCGTACGGTTTACGGGGCAGCTCTGTTTGACTGCATACAGTTTATTTTTATTGCCTCTGCAGGTCATCGTTGTCTTTTAGGGTATGAGATCCCCTACGCCCTAGGAAAATGCCAAGGTCACCGATAGTCTGGCAGTGGTTGTGGTGTACAAGGGCTGGGAAGAGGGAGTGGAAATGCCAAGTTTCTGTAACACACAGGACCAGAGGTGAGGCATGGGGGCAGAGAGTCAGTGAGGGGGGTTATATAAATGTCGGATGATCTGGCAAAGCGAAAGGCCTCTTGGTTGTCTATCTGTGAGCCTTTGGACCATGTGTGCACTTCTTTGTTATTGCCTGGATGCGTCAACTGGCAATTCTGAGGCCTCCGAAGTTTCATTTGTTGAGTGCTCTTCTGCCTTTGTAATGACGAGCTCTTCAGCGACTCGATTGAGATCTATGGGGGAAAAACATGCATTCTTGTTTCTGCTCCTCACAGGTGGTCTTCCTCCTGGGTTTCTTTTTGTTGCTGGTTGTGAATGTGAAGGCTCTTAGGCACACCGAATGAGGAGGTATGGCCTGGAGTTTCGAAACTGCGCGATTGGCACGAGTTCCCTCAATGGCAACCTCAGAATATTGCCAGGGTTGTCCCGCAGCTGGACGAGAAGGGAATCGATCTACTTCAGGTATGCCTCCTCTGCTTTCCTGTGTCTTTCTCATAACGAATCGCGAAGAGAAACAATGGTGATTTGTTTGCTCGATGGAGAAAAAAGCGCTGGCAAGATAGAGTGAAGTGGGAACTGAGTGCTATACCGCTGAATGGTTGTTGTCTGGAGGATTTGTGTCAGCACTGCAGACGTGCGACTCTGACATGCATTGCCTTTGTTAATATAATGTTCAGCGATGTCTTTGTGGAAGTTGACGTTGATGTGTTGTGTGATTTGCCATTTGGGATGATGGATCAGCGTGTGGCTGGGGGAGTGCTTGGTATCCGTCTGAATATTCCAGAAACGAAGTGAGGGGCACCCGATGCCCCTCAGACCAAGATGATGGCAATTACAGTTGCTCAGTAAACCATTGTCTGCTTACTTTCACAAGCTCTCTGTGGCGAGTGGCCTCTACAGTTACAGTAACATGAACTTGGCCAGGTATTCATCCGTTTATGTGGTGAGATACCTAGGTAGATTTTACGCCAGAGGTGTTTGTCGGCATGTTGGTGCTAGATCTTGTCAGTTTACCAGTCCAAGTTTGAGCTTTCGCAATGGGGCGTGTTCTTTCAAGTAGGGGTTTGTCAGGTACTGGAAATGGGGTGTGATTTAGGAACTGCTTCGTTTTCCTTGTGGCTGGTGTGCTCTCTGCTGTGAAGATATGAATGCCTGGATACATGTTGTAATGCACGCTTTGAACTACAATCGGGCACTTGGTGCTCCAGACTTCTTCAGCATTTGTCGTCTTCATCACTAAAGGAATGTGTCGGCTAATGGTGGTCTATCTGTTACCCTTTGTGTCTCTGTCATGACAGAAAATGCTCCAGTATGATCCTGCCAAGAGGATTTCGGCAAAGGAGGCTCTCCATCACCCTTACTTCGACGACCTGGACAAATCTCAGTTCTGAGTATGTTTTGAAGATATCCTTATTATGATAGCGAATTGCAGGAGCTCCCTCTCCAGCTCCTCACACTGCGCCTACTGTCTCAGAACTTTGTATGGATAATCTAGTCAACCTTCTACATGTAGAGTACATATGCTATTTCTATCATCGCATCATTGTTCCGCAGAAATATGGAAGTTTCCAGTTGCCTCGTCCAGCGGGGCATTTGGGTGAACGAGAGAGTTCTATTGTCCATTAATGGCCCTGTGCGATAAAAGCACACCACTTCGTGTGCTCAATTGACTGGTGTCTGACTGGTCTTGCTGTTTCCTTGGTTTCTGAGGCAAAGAAACAAAAGAGTTTTGTAAGTGTTGGATGGGTGGGAAGTAAACGTGCGTAGTGAGCTCTTTGTCTGTGTATGGATCGCAGTGCCGCTTGAGAAGATTGGGGAAATGCTTGCATCCCCAAATTTTTGGAGTGACACTTCGATCCATGTGGAGACTGAACGACCCTCGTTGGGCGCCCAGCTTAAAAGTGATGGGAAAGGATGTGTATTATGTAGGGCCGAAAGGTGTCGAGTGCCCAGCCAAAGGCAGTTTGTGAAGTATGGGGAGTTGCAAGTGGTCAGGGAATCATATGGAATTGGGTGGATGTGCAAGTTGTTCTGGGCTTCGGCACGAGGCTGCTTGGCAACGGCGGGAACCAGTGTTGCTGTTCCAGGGTAGCCAAAAACAGGGTGAATGTGCATGCATAATGCGAAATCGTCATTGCGGCTCATGTATGAATTTGTTTATGGAGAGGGGTAGGATCATGATTGTCAGTAGCTTGCCATATAATGTGACTGAGAGGAATAGAGTCATATGATTTGTCGAGGCAGTTGGTGGCGAAGGCCCTGGATGTGGGGTACGCCTTGTGCACTCAACTTAGACTGCGAAGGTCACCCACCGGTTTTCTAAATCGGAGATGCTAGTCAGGCTTGGAAGAGATGCCATGGGATGCAGCATCCTTGTCTCGCTGCTCGCGGAATTCTGCTGGTGAGTGTCAATGCCGTCGTTTGTGCTTTGGCAGTCCGCGGTAGAAAGAAAGCGATGAGCATCAGTGGGAGCATCACTGGGAGCTGAAGAATGTTTTTAATTTTTTAAGATTTTATTTTTAAGATCACTGTGGTTATGTTCATGAAAATGGGTAGTCCGTTCTGAGATGTTATGCCATCTACAGACAGCGATGTGGGCGAAACAACCATTTCAGCAGAGCGATGTGCTCTGATCTCTGGTGTGAAAGTTCAATGAGGAGGTGTCCGATGAGGATGGGCTTGAGGGGATGGAGTTGATGCACTAAAACTTCCTTGTTGCTCTGGAGTGTGCTGCTGTTTCTGAATGACGGTTGTCAGCACGACTCTTGCGTGCTGCTGTCATGCTGCCGTTCATTTTTTTTTAATCTCCAGGTTTTGTTGAATTGAGTGATGGCACCGGCCGATCTTGCAATGTTTGTTCCGAATTCAAGGATGTGGGCAAAGTACCTCTTCATCTGTCTTGGAATGTTTTGGATTTGAGCGATGTCATTGTGTTGGAAATGGTGGTTTATAGCCGTGGAACAAGGAGCTTCAGGCCTATATGGGTTACATGAAGGAGCGGCTGCCATTTATTGTTCCGGGGGTTGTCTCGCAATGTTTATTGGACGAGTAGTCTTTTGTGCATGATGTGTATATCAAACAAAATGGGAAAGGTAGAGGGTAGTGGAGGAGCAACTTTTGTCGCTGATTCTTCTATGAGCCAAAAATTCTGTGAAATGTTGGCTTCTCCCTTGTACAGTTATTGGGAGATTGCCTGTCCATCAGATAATGCTCCAATTTCGTCAACATCATTAAGCCCGATTTGAACTCTACGTGGTTGGTCCCTCGGGTCGCCCATAGGAAATACTGGTCTCGATTGTGGGAAACAAATAATGTAATCAATGAACTCGAGTCACTTGACGTCCTTTTTTTTTATGTTTTGTGGTCGTTTTCACCTGAGCTTTCCTCAGGGTGGCTTAGCCAGGGCCATCTGAGAAATTAACAGAGCGATGTCACAATTATTGCCTGCTATCAAGGAGCTATGTGGTTCTTGAAGTTGACTATCTTATGCCTGAAGGTTCGTGATGGCCCTGCTACTGCTACTGCTATGCTAAGCTATCCTTGCATGACACTGGCTAGCTGTATGATCAGGTTCGTGCTTTCTAAGCTTGAACTTGGCACCACTAGCTCTTAGAGAAAGTCTGCCAACCCCAAAGGAAGCCCATAGCTACAACCTGTAGCCATTGCAGTAGTGCCGAAAGGGCACTTCGACACCTGTTTTGTCGGTATGGCAGGTGGGCCCAATATCATTGTCTTGTTTTCACAGTAAATACCTTGACCTGGTAGGACCTGTGGTGGAAGAGTGTTGGAACGTGCTGAGCATTTGTGGCTGTATGCAAGGCTTCCATAGATAGGCAGGGTCGGCGTATCCCCGGAATCCCCAAAGATAATAGATACCGGATTCCTTTCGGCACAATCCCACGTAGTCGCCCATGCCCTTGAATCTCGACCTGCTGTGCCAATCTTAGGTGTCTTTTTTGTTTTAGTGTATAGCTTGGATTGCTACCACACAAGTGCATTGACACAGAAAACGTCTCACTGCTTCGGAGAACTTCCTGACATTTTGCATTGATGTGAGAGGATGATTTGATCTGCTGTGTGGAACAGTGGAATTGGCATGAGATCAGGAGCATAAAGAGGGGTTAACCAGAGGTCTGGACCTGTGGTGGGTTATCCTACCGGAGCCTGCATCACGTTGTAGAACCCTCCGCGCAGCAGTTTGCCACGTTCAATGACTTCGTAGGCTGGTGTAAGTGTTTCTCGAGGCTGATGCCATCAAAAGACTACTGAATGCAAACGCTAGCTGTGATGAGTATGCCTGGTCAATGGGGGATGAAACGGTGAGAGTATGGGAGGGGGATGTAATGGGGAGAGCATGTTTACCTGAACAGCCTGCTGGGAACTGGAAACCAGAATACTCGATGCTCCAATCTATATTCGTGGGGAGCAACACGGCTAGGAGCGGGCCCAGAATCCCTTATCAGAATTCAAAAAATGAGCTGCCGGGGCCATTACTTGGCTTCGGCTAAGAACAATTGAAGAAAAAAAAAAGAACTAAGAAGCATTCATGGTCCACTACTAGAACTCTACCAAGTCACTAGAAAGCCACCCAACCGCGAGTCAGATAGGTGAAACCTATTCATTTCACCTACGACTACCACCAGCATGGGTGTTTTCAGAACGAACCGAAGCTCTTTCAGGCCTTGTGATCCCATCAGGCTAGGTTACAGACTTGTGCCACCTTGCTCCAGCACCGGCCAGCATTGCTCCAGTTATGACCCCCGATGGCCACTGAGACTGCCCCCGCAAACAGCCCCCCAGATCTCTCTGCCAGTCCTCACTCACCCACTAAGCTAGGTCACAGAGTTGCGCCGCCTGGCTCCGGCTCCGGCCAGCGTTGCTCGAGCATCGGTCTTCCAGGGCCACCGAATTTTCGGCCACCCTTTCCAGGGCCAAATAGCACCTATTCGTACAACCCTCTCGAGAGGCAAACCAAATGGAAACGAATACTAAACTGGATGTTGGGATTCTTCGAGAGAGATCACCCCTCCCCGCCCCTCCCTTTCCCCCCTCAGCCCTACACTGCCTCCACCGAGGTGAGCCTCCCGATCTCCCTTGGCCCCAATATAGGACCAACCCTCTACCCCCCTTTCCCCAGGTGCACACAGTTCCCACCTAAAGCATGTCCCCCCGCCACTTGCCCATTTCTGCCTCCGCTGGGACTGATGTTGACCCACACACCAGCCCCTGCCCCAGAATAGGGCAACCCCCTACTACGCCCCTACCCTCTTTGACAAATTCACCCCCTGCCTTGTGATGCCCCTGCAAGATAGAGCTCCCCCTTCCCCCTTCGTACAGTTCAGTCCTCTGGGAACGATCCGATCCAGTCGATTATTGATGACACACTTACCAAAATGTAGAATCACTTCATGCAAATCGCAATTTGGAAAAGCAGGGCCTATTACACTGGTCATGCAAATAGGTTGTTTCTGTGATCAAAGATATAAACAGATTGTTTCCCTACCAAATTCTTGGACTTGTGTTCGAAAATATTAGGTGGGTAATGTTGTGGATGATATGGAGGCACACCGACTGCCACCAAGCTGGCATGAATGGCCTTATTTTGGGATTTATCTTTGAGGCGAGTCTTTGCCTAGTGACCCTCTTTAGAGGGGGCTGTGAAGGGCCTTTTGCGACCTATTTCTATGACGTGTGTTCTTTTTCGGTTAATTTGGACTTGCGGATTTTCGAATCATACTCGTGAAATAGGCTTTGCGTGGTTGATGGACTTGGCGGTGGCATTTCGATTTCACAAATCGACATGTTACCGTTTCTCTGAAGGACCCCTACTCTCTACTCCACCTGCACTCGCTCTCCTCTCTTGCAAAGGCTTTTACCTCCAATGTTGCAGCATTCCAGCATCCAGCTGACCAAGGCATGAATGCATGAGTCACTGCTGCAGGGCAGTGTTTTGTAAGGTCTCATCATGTGGCTTAGATTTTTTGTTCTGAGAGGCCCACATTTGCTGTCGGCCAGCTTGATGTGTGTCAAATCCCAACCGCCTCAGAAACTTCGCTGAGTCCTAGAGTAGCTTGTTGGGTCTGAGGCCCAGGGGTCTCTTTGACCTGGCTCCTGTTGAGATTGGTTTCTGGTGCCTGAATAAAGGCTGGGAACATGCCTTCTGCCTGTAGGCTTGACGGAATGTGATGACCGGTACTAGTTTCCTATGGGTCTTAATGTTTTTTAGATTTCGTTTTTGTATCTTGCAGCGTCAAACCCTTAACGCCCGGGCAGCAGGCATATTAGATGCCACTGCACACCGTCAGCAGATATTGTAGCGTAAATAGGAAAACCCTGCTGGAGAATAGACAAGGAGGTAGGAAGGAGTTCAGTAACGGTACAGACCAGAACAAGAAGTGACCTCTCTCACATAGTACAAGATTGCACAGCGGAAGGCTTAAATAGCAATGATCAGAACAATCAATGTTGCCATGCAGACCACCAAACATACATCATCATCATTCCATGGTGTGAAGGGGCCTGGCGCTCACACAGGAAGAATGCGCCAGTCCCCAACTATGCACAGACGAAGAAGAGGGGGGTTAGACGAAGAAGAGGGGAAGATGGGGATGTCGTCAACACCAAGTCTTCGGTACAGTCCCCAAATAATCCCTCGTCAAATGTCTGAATCCCAATGTCGAGTCTGGATCCAAATGTCGCCAAGTCCCAGAGTCACCAATCTCCCTCTCTCGTAGTCTGCAGATACTGAGAAGTCAGGTAGCGAGAGGGTGAGGAAGAGATGGCACCTTGTTGCAGGTACATCGAAGACGAAGCTGGAGCTATCTCCTACTAGCGCCCAGTGCTGAAGACTACTCCTCCAACCATCTCTCTCTCTCTCTCTCTCTCTCTCTCTCTCTCTCTCTCTCTCTCTCTCTCTCT